TACGGGCGTATTTAGACTCTTAATTTCCAAATAACTCCGCCTCTGGTAGATGCTGGGTGGATTGAGTAGCTCAGTGACTGCCAGTGCCGGTCCCAAGCCCGGATAAAGGAGGAGGGTTGTAGCGGCGGGTTGGCTCCCCGCCCTGTGGAAAAAAAAGCATTGCTAAAAAACCCATACAGCAGCCCCGGAATTCGGACGGATTACACGGAAAACGACAAAAGCAAAGAAAACGGTTAACGAATATTGGATGCTGGAATATACAAGGACTAAACACTAAAGATGATCAAGTATTTAGAGAACTCCACACATACGACATCGACATAGCAGTACTCAGCGAAACAAAGAAGAAAGGACAAGGACACAGCTACAAAGATGAGTACATATGCTTTTGGAGTGGAGTAGAAAAATCGAAACGGGCCAAAGCTGGTGTAGCTATTGCAATAAAAAAGGTCATGGAGAAGTTCATAATGGACTGGAACCCAGTTGACGAAAGGATCATAACGGTTGACATGAAAATAAAAGGAAGAGAAATTAAAATATTCGGTATCTACGCGCCCACAGACGACTCAGATACAAACACAAAAGACAAATTTTTTGACAAACTCTCTGAGGGATTAGATAAGACGAAAAATAGACAAGAAATAGTCTTGATAGGCGACCTGAACGGAAGAGTGGGCAAAGCTCTTGACAGTAAAATAATTGGACAACACGGAGAGGAAGTAGTCAATGAAAACGGAACCAGATGGATAGAGCTTTGTGAACAACACTCGTTAAGAATCTTAAACGGATGTTTCCAACACAAAGACATACACAAATATACTTGGACTCAAAAAACAAAAAACTTGAAATCAATTATTGACTATGTCGTGATTAAGCAGGACACTTCCATAATACCCTATGATGTAAAAGTTTGGAGAAGAGCTGAGTGCGGTTCAGATCACCTGCTAGTAAAAGCACCCATTGAAATTACTTAGAATAAACATCTCATATATCAAGAACAAAATAACAATGGAAAACCCACAAAGCGATATAACATAGACAGCTTAAGGGATGAATCCACCAGTTTCTTTTACAAACTACGTTTAGCACAAAAACTGGACGAAGATATTAACGGCAAGGCAGAAGAAATGTATGAAACTTTGAAACACAAAATTCACGAAGCAGCACTAGAAGCCCTTGGTGTTAAAGATAGAACGGAACACAAAAATTCTTGGTGGACGGACGATTTAACCCAACTGGTAGAAGAAAAGAAAAACTTATATCTTAAATGGTTAACTACAAAAGACGATGAAGATCGAAAAAGCTATAATCGTTTTAAATATATAGTAAAAAAAGAAATTAAAAAAATAAAAAACAAAACATGGGAAACCAAATGTGCTGAAATTAGCTCAATGGTAGGAGGATCTAGGTCTAGAGAAGCTTGGCGAACTATAAATGGTCTTAAAACAAACACGAATGAAAGAAAAAAAATAAATCCCATAAAAATAGAACAGTGGAAAGACTACTACAATAATCTACTGGCAGAACAACGTGGAGAGTATTTAGACACGCAACTAGATATAGATCAAACGGGAGTTAACAGAGTAGATACCATTCAATTAGAAGAAATAAAAACAGCATTACAAAAAATGAAAAATAATAAAGCTCCGCGACCGGGGGATTTGCCTATCGAGTTAATTAAACACGCCACCACAAGAACGCACGAGCTACTTTGTGTAATTTTTAACAAGTGCCTGGAAGGGGAAACGATTCCCAGAGATTGGAGGAGCTCTTACATAAATTCCATTTATAAAAAGGGAAACAGGAGTGACTGTAGTAATTATCGGGGTATTAGTATTACATCGTCCATGGGAAAGCTGTACGAAAGAGTCCTAACAGCCCGAATAGAAGACGAAGCCACGGAAATTGAAGAACAAAGTGGATTTCGACCTGGGCGATCCTGTGTCGACAACATATTTACAATAAAACAACTGACAGAAAAGAGATTAGCAAGAGAAATGGAGCTACACGCTACTTTTATAGATCTCCGCAAGGCATTCGACTCCGTCCCTTTGCAGAAATTATGGATCGCAATGAAAGAAGCAGGCATAAATAGCAGATACATAAACGCCGTAAAAGCAATGTATAGAGAAAATCAAGTAGTCGTTAAAGTCGGAAATCAAATTTCTGAGGCTTTCCCACAAACAAAAGGTGTTAAGCAGGGCTCCTGCCTCTCTCCAACCCTGTTTAAAATTTATCTCTGCAGCGCTTTAAAACAGTGGATAAGAAAGTGCAGCCCCATGGGGATATGGTTAGAGGACTTTCACTTGTATACAATCCTCTTTGCAGATGATCAGGTAGTCTTTGCAGAAGACCAGCAAGACATGACTTACATGATAAACAAACTTATAGAAGAATTCACTAAATGGGGTTTGGAGATAAATATACAAAAGACACAATACATGACTATAGGAGGCACAGGACAAGACATCGAAACAAAAAGCGGAAAAATAGAAAACATCGGACAGTACCAGTACCTAGGAGTTACAATAGATGAAAGCGGAAAGGATAATAAAGACATACTAAGGAAAATAGGAAAAGGAAAAAATATGATTAAAGCACTACATCCGATCTTGTGGAGTAAGAACCTAACAAAGAAAACAAAAAAAATTATATATCAGGCTATGATTCAGCCAGTACTGACGTATGGGTCAGAAGCGTGGGTTGTAGATAAAAATATGTCACAAAAGCTTCTCTCAACCGAAATGATGTACTGGAGAAGATGATCCGGTTTAACTTTACTTGACCATGTTAGAAATGAGACCATCAGAGAAAGAATGGAAGTCGAAAATACAATAATGGACGATATAACAGAGAGGCAGTTAAAATGGTATGGACACCTGCAACGAATGAACGAAGAAAGGATACCATTAAGGGTTTGGAAATGGACACCAGCACAAAGAAATAAACGAGGAAGACCACGAAGGAAATGGATTTCAAACATCCATACCGCAATGGAAAGTAGAGGACTACATGAAGGAGACTGGAACGATAGGATACGATGGCGTATGGGTTGCAAGAAGCGACCTTAGGTTGCAGAAACTCGCCATATATATATATATATATATATATATATATATATAATTTCCAAATCAATGGATTGGCAGAGGCGGACCCATTGCCTGGCCAGCAAGAAGCCCAGATCTCGCACCGATGCATTACTATGTGTGGGGATATATGGAAAGCCTGGTGTACGATGTATCGCCTGTACCAACGCGCGATGAATTAATTACAAGGATAATCAGTGCAGCTGACCAAATAAAAAGCCGCTTAACATTTTACGTAAGAGAATGCGGGCGTGTATTCATAACAGGGTATTACAATTTGAGCAGAATCTGTAAAATACTAAAGGAAATGTAATTAAATTAGACTGTAATTAAAATAAAAGCCTTTTATTTATCCTACGTAATTATCGTTCGTGCAACTTTACTCATCTTTTTTTAATTTTATGTCTTTGTACTTGAGTTAGTTGTAACTTTTATACCTCAAATGAAAGCTTGTTAGATAGAGATTATTAACATTATTTGCACATTCCATTACTAGGAGATTTTTTACAGAGAAATTGCATTTTTTATCGAATAAGTTAGTAAAAAAATAAGAAAATCACACATTTCAAAAGCGTAATTTTAAAACTTTTGTAAGTTTTCAACATTTTATTACTTATTATGAACTATTATGTCCGCTATACGACGATGACAAAAAACTCAAAATCAAACATGTAGTTTTTAGTATTTCAAATTTAAGCGTCTGAAATCGGAATAAAAAATAAAAAAATAAAATTCAAATAACTCAAAAAATGGTTAACTTCTGGATAGGACATTATAGGACAAAATCGGTTGCTTTTGACCTAATCTATCACGCCTTAACAGGAATACGTGACATTACAAATCACCCTGTATAAAATAGAGGTTACAAACTGAAATGGATGGCTCTACAATCTAAAACGATTTGCCTTTTTTCCAAATTTCAGACCCGGTTTGAGAGTCTAGTCCTCTCGGCACTAAGGTTAGAGCGGACTCTTCCGTTTGGTTCGGATAGTCTAATGCCACATTTGACCCTACATCTTAGAGTACCTACCAGGCAAGACCTTGGATCCGACCCTCGCCTGCAGTCCCCTGGCCCGAATGACCTCCACCTCGAGGAAGCCCTTCTGGTGACAGAGCGACAGCTGGATGTCCCCTAATGCGGGAGCCCCCAGCACTTGTCGCCCCACCAGCTGCCCGGGGCCCAGGCCGTCGATGAAGTCCGACAATTGGCCAGACTCGCCGGCCAATCGCAGCGAAGGAGACCACCTGGATCAGGAGAGAACGGATCGGTCACAACACTGTACATGAGATCAGATGGTGACATCACAGCGTATACAAGCTGTTCAAATGTATTCGACCACTATGTCTCAAAAAATGCTACTCATACAAAAAAGATAACGACAGTTTCACGGTTTTGAGAAAATTATTTTCAAGGTTATTTAGAGGTCAAATTTAAAATGGATGCGTAATGTATGGACAGCGCAGAAAAGTTTATATTTTTATGTGTCCTTAACCTTGGAATTAGTTGACCTTCAGATCACTTTGAGGTCATGGTCAAGGTCTTGATCGCAGTCACCGCACGTCAAATTTTCCACTATTTTTCGTTGGAAATACTGGAAAACTTGACTTCGATGGGTACAAAGTATTAAAAGTTTTGGACTGCGCTCTGAATAACCTTGCATGTTAAGAAAATGTCTTTCAAGGTCATTCCTTAACGTAAAATTGTCCTCGTCTTTCATCTGTGGGTTCATGAACATTGTTAGTTTACTTATACATATCTGGTTTCATTTGGTTAGAAAATGGGTTATTTCAGCATGAAAGCCACAGGGCAGCTTGAAGGTCATGTTCAGTGGCGCTACTAAAATTGTTTTCTCAAGGCCTAACATTAGTCTTTAAAATTTTGTTGTTTGAAAAATATTTTTACTACTTTTTGAGATATAGAGAATCGCTTTTTGAACATCATGTATAACACAGCAACTCAACTCGCAATAAGCTCGTCGAAAGCTGGGTTGCTGCGTATATACTGTGGTGATGTAAAGAACGTTTGGTTTTGGGATTATGATACAAGAAATGCTAGGCAGATTTACACCAAGGTGTTTCAATCACAAGCTAACTTTCTGGTTAGTTAACCATCAGTTATATTAACTTGTAGTTCCCTGTAAATGTGTTTTACAAGTATTTTGACAGCGCCAATTAGCTTCATCATATATTTGTATTTATGCTGGAACTCTGCGTCTGCGTTTTGTGCGATCGGCGTGTGTGTCTTGTGTGTTTTTTGAATGGCATTTTATAAAATAGTCGATATTTGAATAAAACCTTCGTCAAGCAAGGTAGGATTTTTCAGACATTGTAGAAAGTAGTAGATAGACGGAAATTATAGAAATGGTAAGTGGTAAAAAAGGATGAATCAACCTTACATATGTCAAAAAATGCGCAAAAAATACAATTAAATTTGTAAATATCTGTTGAATATAGTTTTTTAGCATCACTTCTATAATGCACGACACAAAAACAAGGGTCTACAGCAGAGGAGAAAAGATACATCTATTCCCGTTGCTAAAATGTATCAAAAACTTTTCTAGCATGGAGAAAGAGAACATCAAAAAATTTCTCAAAATTTGAGGAAACGATGTTAATATCATTGGTCAATAGAAACAAATGCATAGTAGACAGCTAAAAAGTAGCACAGTTTCCTGGCAAGGCTAAAGTTCTGTTTCTACGGTTCTTTTTTTATCTAATCTAATCTAATTTTTATTTATATTTTTTTTGAAAGCGACGAAGTGTGTTACTAGTTTTAATAATTAGGTAGGTATAGTTTGTCTTGCTTTTGGTTGGATTAATGATAGCGGCAAGCTGACGAGGATGTTGATTTTATATTTCAAATGTAACTGAATTAAATATCTTCTAAAATCTATTTTATGATGCATTTGGAAATATTGCAAAGTATGAAATTGAATTGAATTCAAAATGTTTGAAAAGGCGAACATACTTGACGCCATTTTTTAAATGTCATATATTTACTTGTATGCTTATTATATGTTCTATGTTATTTTATAGAATAAAAGTGGATGGAAATTTGGAAACTGTATTGTTTACTAATTCCTATATACATACATATTTTCCAAGTAAGGGACCGTTCAAGTATTACGTGAGCACTATGGGGCGGCGGGGGGGTCTTTGCTTTGCTTATTTTGGATGACATGGGGGGTAGGGGAGTCTAGATGATGATTACGTCATCGGTAGTTATTTACTTTTTTACACGAATGGCAACCCTCACATTGTCTTTGCTTGAAAACGAAACGCATTTTCGGGGATTCCCGCAAATAATGCATACGTTTAGTGAACAGCGCGCGGTAATTCCCCTACTCGCTTTAGAACCGAGTAGGGGAATTACCGCGCGGTGTTCACTTGTCTAAATTTCCTCTATCAGTGTATTGTTTCGTTTGGATACTATAGCGAGTAGTCGTATTGTAAGCATAGTAAAGCAAGTTAACATTTGTGTTACCATTGATTCCATCCAAGTTATCCTAAAAATTGAAAGTTTTAAAAAATCTCATACAAGTACGAAAGTACAAAATGTACAAAAGTTAGTTAACGAAGTGTGGCGAAATTACAAATTACAATAAAGATCCGACGAGGAACTAGATATTATTGTATCTAAGAGAATCGAAGAAGAATTGCAAGCGGCGACTAAGAATAAATCTAATCTACTAAATTTTTTTTCTAAGGTGGGTGACGAAATCATTTTAGGTACCTATGAGTACCAGAAATATTAGAAATCGCCAAAAAGTTTATCTTTACTGATTAGAAAATATTATGGCCTATCTCAAAGTATAGAGGTAATATTCATAATATTATAGACTTATTTCTTATGAGTGATTCCGTCAATTGGTCACAAAGTACAGGATGTTAGTTTTATACATATATACAGAAAACTAACACACTGTATTTTGTGTCCGGAACGAATTGCTCGTTTAAACATATTAGATTTAAAGCCATAGGGTATTGTATTTACCATATATATTGGCATACTTTGTATTTATGTAGCTTAATAAGATAATCTTTAGCAGAAGCCATAGAAAGTTTTTATTTTTAGGCAACCTGTAAACCTGCAGAAAAAAACACAAATTGTACAGTCAGCTTCAAATATTAAAAAAGAGGAAGAAGATAAAGTAAAACCCGGTAATGAATCACAACAGCAATGCGAAATTAATTAAAATACAGATAAACAGAGAGCAAAACCTTCTCAGGAAGCTATGAAAAATAAGATTGCTCTACTCGAAAAAAATCTGAATGCTTTGTATTCTGCCAAAGATACTGTGCCAAGCCGTGCTAAAATCGATAAACAGATCATTAAGTTGCGCGAGGAAATAAAAACAGCAAAATAGTCTTTGAAGAGGAAGGTTCAAAACGCAGTTGCCCAGAAGAAACACAGGGATAGTATGAAAAGAAAGTTAGAAGATATTTGTCATGAAAATCCAGAAATAAAAAAAAGACTATCTCTGAGGGATTCAGTCGGACATCCTAATCCTGAAAGCAATCAACATTCACTATTGAAAACAATCGCGGATATAGCTTTATTTGGGAGTGCAGCAGATGATAGAAGATGAACGGGATCAATTCGCAACGTAAAAACTCTTGATGAACTCACACAAGAATTACGTAAAATAGGATTTGCCATTAGTCGCAGTGGGACATATTTTCGTTTGATTCCCAGAAAACCTAATTCTGCAGAAGGACGAAGACATGTATCGACAGTCCCTGTTAAGCTCATTCGGGCTCAAACTGATCACCACAAGAGCCACTTAGATAGCAAGTTCGCTGAAACATCAATCCATTATTTAGAGAACATAACATCCATACTTGGACCAGATCAAGTATTTTTCATATCTCAAGATGATAAAGCTCGAGTCCCTATTGGCGTAACTGCGGCAAATAAGCAAGCACCTCTTCTAATGTACATGGAATATAGAATCAAATTGCCTGATCACGATTGGGTAATCGCTGAGCGTCATAAATTAATACCATCTGTTTATGCTGGTATCAAAATCACTTCCATTATGCTAGGACAACCGCAAGCCGTTGGATATTCTGGACCAACATACAACGCTATTCGAAGTGGAAAGCATAGTTCATCTACTGCTAATACTCATGCTCAGGATTTCGAGACGCTTCTCGAACTTGAAGAGTTTCGACCATTAGCTAAAACTGACCATGGACTAGTAAAACCAGGAGTAATCATGACGGTTGATGGAGGGCCAGATGAAAATCCACGTTATGAAAAAGTCATAGGGTTTGCTATACAACACTTTAAGCGACATGATCTCGATGCATTGTTTTTAACCACCAATGCTCCTGGAAGAAGTGCGTATAACAGAGTAGAGGGCAGAATGGCTCCTCTTAGACGGGAACTGACTGGTTTAATATTGCCTCATGACCATTTTGGGTCTCATTTGGATGAACGTGGCGTTAAAATTGATGAACATTTAGAAAAATCTCGAAAAAATTTCGAATTTGCAGGAAATGTATTAGCTGAAGTATGGAGTTCAATGGAAATTGATGGCTATAATGTTAATGCAAAATATGTTGGGGCAGGTGAACATGATCTTCCTGATTTTCCAGCCATTAGATGGTATTCAGAACATGTGCGTAAGAGCCAATACTTGCTTCAAATTGTAAAATGTAGAAATACAGAATGCTGACGTCCAAGAAGTGGCCTATTTAGATTACTAGACAATAGGTTTCTTCCACCACCTGTAAAAGTAAAACAAACAGTTGATGGGTCGATGAGAACGACGAAGACATTCCAAAATCCGATGAAAGCGAGCAAACTCACAACACTGAGCAGCAATCGAAGCAATCCAATGTCATCGAAAACTTAGAATCATGGACTGTTAATTTGTATTTAATATATGTACCAAACATTTAAAATAAGTTTGTTACGTTAGTAAGATATAATATTTTTGTCCTTTACTCTATGTTGAATACCGTGTCAGTAATATATATATATATATATATATAATATATATATAACAACAAGTAGGAAATATTCTCTTTATATAATATATATATATATATATTTTCTTATTTTTCCAATTATAATTATAACGTTATAATTATAATATAAAAAAAAACAATACATTAATTGACAAATGTTTACGTAAGCATGGGGGGAGGGGGTAAGAGCTTTGCTTACTCTTGCTGACAAGGGGCATGTGGGGGAAAATAATTGTAATAAATCTGCTTACGTAATACTTGAACGGCCCCAAAGAATAATTAAAAACAGTCTGTATAGATTTGCTTATAAATATAATGAAACTCGAGGATAACAGAGGGGGCAAGTGTCACTGATAAGAATCCTGTAAACAATCGTCGTTTCAGTTTAGTTTGTTATGTGTCAGCCTTCGTCGCAATCGTTAGATGGCGCTGTTAACGGTGGTACCAGGACTCATAGGAGAGAATGTTATCTGTAGTGTAGCTAATAATCTTTGTGCCAAAGTGTTAACTCATAGATGGTCCTCTGGTTAAACTTAACTACTGTTTCACCATAAACATGATATTGAAAAACGCTTTTTTATAGATAACTATGAGTTAAGACCAAAGTCGAAGTTAACCTGCGACTGAAAAATCGGAACTTAAAATGTTGGTGAAAGTGGCATGTAAAAATGTACAAGCACTTCCACCAAAATTATAACTATATTGCATATCCACACTGCAAGCTCCTTCGACTATTCTAAATAATATCGGTATCCTAATCGGATAGGTAATTCCTTTTAACATGTCTCTACCTCCAGCTTACCAGGATATTCCTGTATCTGATTAACTGCAGCATAATCTCAAACCAAACGTTCCTATTCAAAATACAGATTTGTATCCAAATTCTAGCTACAAATCCAGAATTAATGTACAAGAAGGAATTTGGGGCAAATGTTTCAACCACAATTTCCTGTCTAAGAGTTCTTATTTTACGAATATATTTACAGTTTGGCACTGAATTTGGAAAATTCTATATTACCTTACCCAAAAATTGTCTCAAGCTAGATAGAAACTATAGACTCTAGAGCTTACTCGACTTCTTCTAAATTATTAAGACAGTAAATGTGGATAGTTATTTCCATCT